AAGTAGTTGTGGCCAGTGCTTGAAGGTATATATAGTACATGGAGCTTATACACTATTTGTTAAAAAAAAGAAGAATTCTAATGCATGAGTTTCTTAGTAATATAATTATTGCGCGTGCATGCAGGTGACCAACCCTAAAAATGATGCCAGCGTGGTGGTGAGAATCGTCGACCAATGCGGTTTGGCAAGCATGGGCTTGGATGAACCTGCGTTCGATATGATCGACGATGGGAGCGGCAAACACGCAGGGCACCTTACTGTGAACTACGAGCTCGTGGATTGTGATCCTCCACCGCCACCACCACCACCAGCAGGTCCCGGTGAGACCGATGTCATAGCTTACTGGAGTGACTATGGTCCTCTAAAGAATAACTGGAGCTACAGTGCGGCACATGTTGCTTGCAAAGACTATACGGTGACAAACCCTTGGAGTGGCGTCAAAGATATGGATGGACCGGTTTCTGTGGAAATGTTCTCGGTTCTCAACTGAAAGACATCTGTGGCAAGTGCTTAAAGGTATAAAAAAACAAGTTACTTATTTTTTTATTGGTTTATAGTGATTACAAGATAATACATATTCGAAAGATTCAACTATTTGAGAATAAGTTTGTACATCCCTATAGACGTCGTGTGTGTATATATATATAGAGTTCAATCAATCTTGGGTTTCGTATGCAGGTAACCAACACACGCACAAAAGATGAGAAAATAGTGAGAATCGTCGATTCATGTGGCGGTGGTGGTCTGGTGTTAGACTTAAACACAGCGTTTACTCCGCTTGACAGTGATGGGAAAGGGAATGCTGCAGGCCATCTTACTGTGGACTACCAAGTGGTGGATTGTGATGATGATGTGGACTCTCCACTTCGTCTCTATGGCCAGTGACTTTAGTCTATAAAATTCCCACTCGATTTCACTTGTATAACATAAAGTCTTATATCTAAAGACTACCATGTACCAAACATGTTACAGCGGAATCATGAATTTCGTTGTTGTTTGTAACATAAGGTTAATAAGAAGTGGGACTATTATGGGTTTTGTTTACTTCATCCATCTTAAGTTTTTAGATCCTTACTACACCAGTTTAAAACTACTCAATGACTATTCATGTACTGCTTCAACTTAAAAATTTTAAAAATAATATTAATCTCTTTAATTATTGAGATCATTTAATTCGTGATTATATAAAATTTGTACCTTTAATCTAACAAATGTTACACAATAACGTGATGAAGACCATAACTATTCTGTATTGATGCGTGTATTTATTAGAGATTAATTTATCGAAAAGATACGCATTCAATAGCAATACCCAATTAATATTTGCAATATTAAGAAGTGGTCCAAAGGTAACATAACCCAATTTATCATTGAGTAAATAATAATTAAAAAATGAAGAAGCATGAGCGCGAATTTTAATCACTTTGGTGATAAAAGAAATGTTGTTACGAGGTTTTGGATTCGAGCACCAGAAATATTAGGGGTACGAGCGTTAAATGTCAAATGATTAAAAGTTATCATTGAATAGATTTTACCTTGTACATACCCTACATTAATTAAAAAAATGAAAAACATTAATTAAAAAAATGAAAAAGCATGAAATACACGTGACTAAGAAAAAAATTAGATTAATCCGGAAAATTTCGAGAGAAACTTCGCCTATAATAGGACGTATCTAGAAAGAAATAGTAATATTTCTCTATTTCGATTGAAGTAAAAAATAATTGCTCTAAGGCATGAGAGGTTTTTTCTTCTCAATAGAAAATAATTAAATATTGTCATTTTCCGTACTAAAATCAAGGAATGTATTGGAATTAATAGTGAACTTTAGAATAGAATTGTAATATTTCTTTATTACGATTGGAATGGAATTGATTACTTTAAGGCATGAGAGGACGATTCTTCTCGATATAAAATAATTAAATATTAATATATTTCGTTCTAAAATTCAAAGAATATTATTCGCAAGGATCTTAAACTAAATTAAACTCGAATTCGTAAATTTTATTGCAAAGTCAACTAATTAGTCGACTAGTTACCGATTTAGAGCGCTGTGGGGGTGCTAATCCTTTCCCACGCGTAACCAACTCTCGAATTCAAATTTTTGGTAACGAAAACCGTAAAAATGTTGTTTTAATAATTTTTAAATTTAAAATTTCCTTTAGCACATGTCCATTAACTTTATATATTTATACGTATATTTACTTTATTGTAATATATAGTATTAATTGCATAATATATATACGTATGTTTTTCCTTACTTAAGGGATATTGTTCATTTTTTTGTATCTTAAGCTCTATATTGTGATATTAAATGTATAAATATGCGTGTTTGTTAAACATTAATTATCGTTACCTCTTCTAAACTTGGATAAATTTACTTATTATTTTTAATGTGAGACAAGAACAAACCGAAGGGAATTTTTCTTAACTTACACTATTTTGGTTTATTTATATCTTTAGCCCTTATATTTATTATTTAATCATTTTAGCCTTTATACTTTTTATAAATGTATTTGTTATTTATTTTTAGAGAGATTTTTAACTTTTTACATATCATATATTAAATATATTATACAGTGTTGTATACATAAATTTGTTTATAAAGCTTTTTTTATATATGTATAAAATATATTTATATTATCTTTTAGTGTTCAATTGTTTTCATTATCACCTATTTTCAGTATGCAATGCATATTATACATCATATTTAAAAATCTACTGTATAATATGATTTTAACTTCCTAAGATGATATATATATATACACATAGATAATGTGTTTTATAATCTATATAAATTGTCTAACGTTGGTATTAATATATATATTATAATTCACTACCGTATATTAAGTAGTATATTATATTAGGTTATTTACGAATATTATAGTGTTATTTTGTCTGTCTAAATATCATGCATATATGTTTGTACATATAGGCTTAGGTTTTATTTTGATTAATTTGTATGATATCCTCATAAGCATCACTAGACTCAATTCAAATAATTGGATTAAGGGTAATACCATTTTATTTTACGATTGTCGTGAAGTGATTGTTTTACCGTATAAGAAGGTTACTTCCGACGTTTTTAAAATGAAATCATATCACGTCAAGTGAAAACCTAAAAATTGACTACACATAAAATTTGGGAATGAGAGAAAAAAAAATGTTCATCTATTTAAATTTATCGAGAAAATGTCGTTAGAACTTATAAAAGGTCCGATCTCGATGTCTTTAAATAATCAAACATCCTTCTTTCTAAAATGATTGGTAATTAGTATTTAACTAATTTTTATTTTTATCATCATTTATGCATTCGAATTAATAATGATTTTAGAAAGAAATAGTAATATTTCTCTATTTCGATTGGAGTAAGAAAAGATTGCTCTAAAGCATGAGATGTCTTTTCTTCTCTATAGAAAATAATTAAATATTTTTGTTTTTCGTACTAAAATTCAAGGAATGTGTTGGAATTAATAATGAACTTTTAGAATGGAATTGTAATATTTCTTTATTTCGATTGGAATATGAATTGATTGCTTTAAGACATGAGAGGCCGATTCTTCTAGATAGTAAATAATTAAATATTAATGTATTTCGTTCAAAAATTCAAAGAATATTATTCGCATGGATCTTAAACTAAATTAAACTAGAATTCCTAAATTTCATTGCAAAGTCAACAAATTAATCGACTAGTACCGATTTAGGGCGCTGTGGGGTGCTAATCTTCCCCACGCATAACCGACTCCCGAATTCAAATTTTTGGTAACTCATACAGTAAAAATGTTGTTTTAATAATTTTTAAATTAAAAAAGTTTAATAAAATGATAAAATATTTTGGGAGCCCAATCACACCCTAATCAAATATTGGTGATGACTCCTAGAACCGTGTTTTATTTTATTTTAAAAGAAAATACCAAATTATTCGAGACGAGATTTTTTTAAAATCATTTAAAAATTAAATTTATTTTTAAGAAACCGTTTCGACAATTTTAATATACAATGTCAAATCTAAGTTGTGTGTCTCATTCAAAACTTCCTTAAATCTATATAAAATAAAAGAGTACAACAGGCAAACGCTGCAATTCCATAACTCATGTATCAAACATACACCAGCTAAATAAACTATTAATCTGTACCGAAAGAAAATCAATAAGACACGCCCAAAACATGCCAGGGAAAGGAGAGAAAAAAACAAAAACATAATATGAGGAGTCCCCCGCAGGCAGCTGGCCACAGTTTACCACTCGAATCCCCATCAAGGTTTAATTTCAGCCCTCAGAGTCAGAGGGGACCAAAAGATGCGGCCTCTCGTTGTATTAATAATAGAGGGTTAGTCCCACATCACCGTCGGTTATTACTTTTCTTCCTTGGCATTAACGATATTTACAAGATCAAGGAGTAGTTAACATCAAAGCATGAAATTCACATGGGATTCTAAAGAAGAAGAAGAAATCGGTAGATTAATCCTGCAAAACTGTGAGGGTAATTTTACCTAAAATACGTGGATCCCTATACATGATTTCATCAAAGCATTAGAAAAACATATGCATTAGAAAAAATGGAGATATCAGTAGTTAACATCATAGTTAGCATTGTGCTGTTAGGCAGTGTGGTGGGTTCTAAGGCTAGGGCTACAACTACTGCATACCTTACCCAAGGGACGGCTTATTGGATCAACTACCATGCTGATCAGAATGGTTGAGACATGGACAAGGCACATGTTGCCTGCGCCTCGAAGTTTGCCCACATGCCTATCGAATGGCGCAGCAAATATTATTGGACCGCCTTCTGTGGATTGAACGGTCCTTCGTACCCAAGTAGTTGTGGCCAGTGCTTGAAGGTATATATAGTACATGGAGCTTATACAGCATTTGGTGAAAAAAATAAGAATTCTAATGCATGAGTTTCTTAGTAATATAATTATTGCGCGTGCATGCAGGTGACCAACCCTAAAAATGATGCCAGTGTGGTGGTGAGAATCGTAGACCAATTTGGCAAGCATGGGCTTGGATGAACCTGCGTTCGATATGATCGACGATGGGAGCGGCAAACACGCAGGGCACCTTACTGTGAACTACGAGCTCGTGGATTGTGATCCTCCTCCACCGCCACCACCACCACCAGCAGGTCCCGGTGAGACCGATGTCATAGCATACTGGAGTGACTATGGTCCTCTAAAGAATAACTGGAGCTACAGTGCGGCACATGTCGCTTGCAACGACTATGACGGTAACAAACCCTTGGAGTGGCGTCAAAGATATGGATGGACCGGTTACTGTGGAAATGTTTTCGGTTCTCAACTGAAAGACATCTGTGGCAAGTGCTTAAAGGTATAAAAAACAAGTTACTTATTTTTTTATTGGTTTATAGTGATTACAAGATAATAAATATTCGAAAGATTTAACTATTTGAGAATAAGTTTGTACATCCCTATACACGTCGTGTGTATATAGATATATAGTTTAACCAATCTTGGGTTTCGTATACAGGTAACCAACACACGCACAAAAGATGAGAAAATAGTGAGAATCGTCGATTCATGTGGCGGTGGTGGTCTGGTGTTAGACTTAAACACAGCGTTTACTCCGCTTGACAGTGATGGGAAAGGGAATGCTGCAGGCCATCTTACTGTGGACTATCAAGTGGTGGATTGTTATGATGATGTGGATTCTCCACTTCGTCTCTATGGCCAGTGACTTTAGTCTATAAAATTCTCACTCGATTTCACTTGTATAACATAAAGTCTTATATCTAAAGACTACTATGTACCAAACATGTTACAGCGGAATCATGAATTTCGTTGTTGTTTGTAACATAAGGTTAATAAGAAGTGGGACTATTATGGGTTTTTTTTACTTCATCCGTCTTAAGTTTTTAGAATCCTTACTACACCAGTTTAAAACTACTCATGACTATTCATTTACTGCTAGAACTTGAAATTTTTAAAAATAATTTATCTCTTTAATTACTGAGATCATTTAATTCGTGAGTATATAAAATTTGTACTTTTTTTTAATTAAAAGAAGACTATTACAATGAAATACTAAGTGCGAATAAAAGCAGGACCATGTAGGTCACGAACAAGATGAGATATTAACTTCTGGGGAGGTTCTATGTATATGCATGGTTGGTCATTTGTAACGACGGTAGATTTTGCGAGAAAGTCTGCTGCAGCATTGGCTTCACGACGTATGAAAATGAATTCAATCTTCCATTGTTTTGAAATAAGACTCGCAATAGATCGGACAAGTGACACGGGACTGGATGCGGTCGTTGGAGAAGCCACAAGTGTAAGAGCTTCCGCACAATCCGTCTAGCATTGATGACGCTCAAGTCTTTGGGACCACGCTAATTGAAGTCCTTCAAAAATCCCCAGAGTTCGACTTGTAATGGGGATGAAATACCAACCGCTTTATTAAATCCAACGATCCAATCTACATCCTTGTTCCGGATGACGCCACCTCCCGATCCTATAGAGGAAGTATGATGTACTGCGCCATCTGTGTTGAGAGTATACCAACCAGCAGGCGCCGATCTCCATCGGACAAGTTTGGCCAAGGAAAAGCAGTACCAGTTGAAGAATCAGACGTCGTAGTGATGAAATAATTAGCTCATTTTTTACTAAGGTTGAGTAATTGATCATTAGAGAGGATTGGACTGGAGAATAAGGATGAATTTCTTCACTTCCAGATCTGCCACGCAAGGGAAGAGAATAGAGTTTTCCAAGGAATTTTTGAACCTGCAAAAAGTCTGCTGGAATCAAGATTCATCATAATCCAATCATTAGCTTCAAGAGTGAAGAAGTCCTGAAAATGTTGATGAGGAATGATCAATTGCCAAAGAGTAGCAGTTTGCTTGCAATCACGCAACACATGCAACGTAGTTTCATTAGCTGAGCCACATATTTGACATAAAAGATCATCGGTGAGGTTTCGTGCACATCGATTGGTGTTCGTTAATAAACGATCTCTATAGGAAAGCCAAAGGAAGTGTTTAATACGCTCTGGGAAAGGTAGACGCCAGAGCTTGACCATTTAACGTCTTTGGGACCCCAAAGTTCTTTAGTAATAAGATCATAAGCGGATTTCACAGAAAATTCGTCGTGCTTGCCGTGAAACCAATAACAACGATCGGTGCCTGCATTGGGATTAGGAGGCTGGACATTCAAAATATGTTGAAATGTGGAAGGTTGAAGAGTCTGTCGAATGAAGTTCCAGTTCCAACTGCTATTCTACTGATCAATATCACAAACCATCAAGTTATCTTTTATAGTGATGCTATCTTGCTTCCGGTTAGAGAGTCGCCCAAGTTTCGCAACCAATTGTCGTGCCAAAATGTGACAAATTTATTACAATAACGTGATGAAGACCATAACTATTCTGTATTGATGCGTGTATTTATTAGAGATTAATTTATCGAAATGATACGCATTCAATAGTAATACCCGATTAATATTTGCAAGATTAAGAAGTGGTCCAAAGGTAACAAAACCCAATTTATCATTGAGAAAATAATAATTAAAAAATAAGAAGCATGAGCGCGAATTTTAATAACTTTAGTGGTAAATGAAAGGTTGTTATTCTAAGGCTTTGGATTCGAGCGTCAGAAATATTAGGGGTACGAGCGTTCAATATCAAATGATTAAAAATTATCATTGAATAGATATTGCATTGTACATACCTTACATTAATAAAAAAAACATGAAGAAGTATGAAATACATGTGACTAAGAAAAAAAATTGGATTAATTCGGAAAATTTCGATAGAAACTTCGCCTATAATAGGACGATTCTAGAAATAAATATTAATATTTCTCTATTTTGATTGGAGTAAGAAATGATTGTTCTAAGGCATGAGAGGTTTTTTCTTCTCAATAGGAAATAATTAAATATTATCGTTTTCTGTACTAAAATTCAAGGAATGTGTTGGAATTAATAATGAACTTTAGAATGGAATTGTAATATTTCTTTATTTCGATTGGAATATGAATTGATTGCTTTAAGGCATGAGAGGTCGATTCTTCTCGATAGGAAATAATTAAATATTATTGTATTTCGTTCTAAAATTCAAAGAATATTATTGGCATGGATCTTAAACTAAATTAAACTCGAATTCGTAAGTTTCATTGCAAAGACAACTAATTAATCGACTAGTTACCGATTTAGGGTATTGTGGGGTGCTAATCTTTCCCCACGCGTAACCGACTCCTGAATTCAAATTTTTGGTAACACAAGCCATAAAAACGTTGTTTTAATAAAAAAAATTTATTAAAATGACAAAATATTTTGGGTGTATAATCACACCCTAATCAAATATTGATGGCGACTCCTCGAACCGTGTTTTATTTTATTTTAAAAAGAAACACCAAATTATTCGAGACGAGATTTTTAAAATCATTTAAAAATTAAATTTGTTTTTAAGAAACCGTTTCGACAATTTTAATACACAGACTCAAACCAAAGTTGTGTGTCTCATTCAAAACTTCCGTAAACCTATATGGAATAAAATAGTACAACACAACTAGACAAACGATACAATTCCGTAACTCATGTATCAAACATACACCAGATAAATAAACTATTAATCTGTACCGAAAGAAAATCAATAAGACACACCTAAAACATGCCAAGGAAAGTAGAAAATAAAAACAAAAACATAATATGAGGAGTCCCCCACAGGCAGCTGGCCTCAGTTTACCACTCGCAGCCCCATCAAGGTTTAATTTCAGCACTCAGAGGGTACCAAAAGATGCGGCCTCTCGTTGTCATAATAATAGAGGGTTAGTCCCACATGCAACTGCGTACTCCTAGGAAGAACTAAGCATTCCTGAAAATGAATCAGAGCAATTGCAAAAATGGAACGATGAGATATAAATGAAATTAGTGTTTTGCCTATATTAGTTAACTATAGTCATTTTTATAAATTTTCATTTTAATCCATGTACTTTAGTTTTCTTTCAATTTAGTCCAAAATGTTAAAATGAAGCAAAATTGACGATTGCTGCTGATAGCTTTGTCAAAATTGATTTCAACTACAGACAGCTTACAAAAGTACTGTACAAACATATGTATATCTCTAAATATTTCTTCTGTATTCCACAACCTTAATTTATTTTCTCTACATCCATTTGTCACTAATTTAACCATTTTTTATATATTTAAATAATTTTACATGAATTAAAATATTTATTAAATGATAAAAATTAAAAGCCTATATACAAGTATAACACATGTATCGAAAATTAGTTTAAAAGAAATATTTTTAATTAAAATGAAAAAAAAATGTCAAGAAGAAATATTTTTAATAAAATATTTATTAAATGATAAAAATTAAAAGCCTATATACAAATATAAGTATTGTATTCTTCCAATGTTTTAAATTTTTTTATCAAAAAAATTCTATTCAAACCGTTAGTTGAATAATTATTAAATTAAAAAATATTATTGACATGTCATTTTCATATATATTCAATTACTGACATGTCACATATTAAATTATCTCTTCACTAATGTAGCACATATTATGTTATCGTTTTGGGTGAGGTAACACATATCAAACCATCACTTTAGTGATGTAATTAGAATAGGCATAGGACTTAAATCTGAAGGGTTCCAACCTGTAGACACTCATTTTCTTAAAAGATAGAACTAGCAAGAGTTCATCTCCTAAGAGGACTCTTCCACCACCATATCTTTTAAAGCAACAACCACACCAACAAACGTGCAACAACCGAGCAATGAGTCTAGTTGCATTAGGATTCTATTGTTAATAGGATTCTAAAAATAGTTAGTTTTTTTTCACTATAAATACATGTAATCCTCCCCATTTGTAACACACGATTTACATACAAGATACAGAGGAAAGCACGAAAAAATACAAAGGCAAAGCTATTGTAAACGATTCGAAAAGGAAATAAAAGGTATCATCTTTTTTTATATTGATTCGTTCATTTCTCGCATGTACATGTTATTTTTCTTGAGATTTGGTTTGAATAACCCAAAGAGTGGGTTGCGTCGGTGACCAAAAAGGGATTGGGTTTCGAAGTTTCGAACCTAGATCTACTCCCGATGCATGTTCATTTTTTTAAAGTATTTAATATTCCCCCTAAGTTAATCTTAATCTTTAATTTACCTTGAAATTTACCCTTTAATTTTATTTTATATTAATTTCGTCATCTATATATATTTTTTTAATTATATTTTTTATTTATTTAATATATTCCTCTATTATTTATATTATATATATATATTATATATATATATATATATATATATATATATATATATATATAGATGTATTAATTTTTCTCCATTACTATGTATATATTTTTTCTTAATATTATATTTTATACGTTTTTATATATATATTCTTAATATTTTATTTTGTTTTTATTTATATATATTATATTTTTACTTTTTTATTTTTTTTATTTTTTTTTTAATATCATGTATATCTTTATTTTTTATTTGTTTTAGTTAGTATTATATATTTATTATTTTTATTTGTTTTAGTAAATACAACTTTATATGTACATATTATTTTTATTCCTTTTAAATTTCTTTTACTTTTTTTATTTTTTTACTCCATTAATTTTTCCTTTTATTTGTGTCTTTGTTTTTTAACATTTTATTCATTTTTTTTATTTTTTTATTTTATTATTATTTTTTATGTGTTTTGTTATTTTCCATTTTTTCTTG